CTCTCTGATGTTCCCGTGCGGATAGAAGAGTAGGGTAAAAGCTGAGCTTTTGCCGCTGGGAGTTGTGCTCATCGCTTGCGAGTGTTGCAGACACCAGACATCTTCGCGTGATGGTTGTGTGGGGGCGAAGATGATCAAAACTTGATGTGGGAATCTCTCTGAACGTGAGGTGAGGACACAAGAGTAGGGTAAAAGCTGAGCCGGCAAATGGCATGTTAGTTCTTGCGTCCGAACTTGCGCAGGTTGAGACGCTTGTTATCTGCAGCGGCCATACTCAATGCAAGCTTGAAGCCAGGCAGTTGATTGACTGCAGCAACCGCTCCTGCGAGCTGCCATGTTGAACCTGCACAGCATTTTGTGTGAATGGACGAGTAGGATAACAGCATTTGCCGGTGGGAGTTGTGCTCATGGCTTGCGAGTGCTGCAGCCGCCAGACATCTTCGTGTGATGGTTGTGTGGGGGCGAAGATGATCAAAACTTGATGTGGGAATCTCTCTGAACGTGAGGTGAGGACACAAGAGTAGGGTAAAAGCTGAGCCGGCGACTGGCAATTTTCGGCCTTGCACACATGCTGAGGCGTCTGTTTATCTGCAGCAGCATGCAGCAGCCATGCTAAATGCAAGGGTGAAGCTGGGCAGTTGCTGAAGCTGGACCCGCTACCGCATTGCGAGCAAGGATGAGCAGCATTTTGTGCGAGTCTCTTTGATGTTCCCGTGCGGATAGAGGATAGAAGAGTACCGTAAAGGCAGAGCTTTTGCCGGCGGGAATTGTGCTGTGCTCATGTGGAAGGGGTGCTTCTGCGACTACCAAGTTTCTGTGGACAAACGAAACGGGCTCTTCGCAGGGTGAGACAACCAGCTGAAGAGCACGAGGCTTTTGGCACGACGGGCACTGGCACACATCCAGCATGCTGGCAGAGAACATCTCACCGACAAGAAACGGTTGGGCTGCAGCCGGAAGACGAGAGGCAGCCTGAGCCCAGGACACTACCCAATTCACCACTCGCGGGCAGCAGCGAAGAAGGACCCTAGGAACAGGCACAGGCACGGGGACCTCTCACAATAGAGCATGGACAGTGGATACCACCTACTAGACAACCGCCCCTAAAGGGAGCTGGATCTCTAGCTTGTGTGTCTTGCTTGCCCTCGACGCCAGGAACCGCTTCCTCTCTATGCCACCGAGTTGTGCGGTCCATAGCCGACATGGAGCCCGAAAGCACAGATCCAGAAGCCGCTTTGCTGCTTCAACTTCGGTTGCATTTCAAGGCCTGGTGCCTTCGTGCTTGGAGGCATGCTCTGTTCGATCGGTGGTGACTTGTCTCTTGCAGTTTCAAGGACTATTGCAAACGGATCATTTTACAGCTCTTTCTTTATTTCTCTCTCTTTCTCTCTCTTTCTCTCTCTTTCGCTATCGTGGCTGTTGGAAGGGAGGGTCGGCATGGCACAATGGAAGCTTTGGGGCCGTTCACGCTGTCTGCATCGGCTGCTTCCGCTGCAAATGGTCTTGGGCAGGAGAATTGCCAAAGGCCCACTTCGGTGGCACGGAGATTGGAAGGCATTGGGTGCTAGCGGCGCTAGCCCTTAGAGATCAGTCATGGTATTCCAATCTTCTAGCACTCCCAGCCCTGAGTGTTTCTTCTCCAGTCGGCCGCCTTGCCTGTCAGCTCTTTGGAATGGCGGCCACTGATCCACGTGCATGCGGGAAGTCGAATCGGCGCACTACTCGAGGTGCGCCGGCAGCAGCGTGTAGGGGCTTGTCCAGGTTGCAATTTCCGATGGAGCCAGGTGAGGGACTTCGTAAGTGCCACTGCCCCAGCGTTTGACATAGAAATACAGAGAATAGATGATGCAGTAGAATCCAACATCTTGGCTTTTAGAAATCAGGGCTTGCGCGAGCTGCCGATCCTTCGGGCATCCATATTCCAGGATGGCACGCTGAGAACTGAGGCGGTCATGGGGAATTCAGCATGTGCAGACTTGAGATGATACCACCGAAATACCCTGTATTGCCTCACGACATTTGGCATGAACTGCTGGAGGCCGAAGATGCATGTTTCTCTTTGGCTCCTGTGTCGTTATCCTTTCCTGGAAGGCCTCCATTTGCCCATCAGGGCTGTCATCCTTGACACAGGCGTGGTCTGCCTTCTCTGTTTGTTTGATTTTGACAAATGTAGACCTGAACAGTGGAAGGAGGAGCAGAGCTGCGTCCTATCCGCATCTGCAGGGCAGAGGCCACATGGTCTGACGGAGGACTTGACCTCAGCCGTGAAGGTCTTTGTCTTTTCTATGGTGGCTTAGTGAGCTTAGTGGCTCACGTCAGGTACGTGGCAACGTGCGCAGCCTCCGTCTTTGTACAGACGTCGGGATCCTGGACTTGTAGTGCAGATCGGAGCCTCGCCGACAGAGTACGGAGGTCAGTGAACCGCCCCTGCTTCGCTGAAGCTTGGAATCACGCGGTTCGATGCATCTATATCCTTCTCTTGGAGGTGTAAGTGTAAGAGAAGGCTACTTCGAAGAAGTAGCCTTTTCCTAGCTTCTCGACCGCAAGCTGGGCATTGCCGCTAGGCGCATGCCCCGTTTTTCAAGCCTTCAGAGCTTCAAACCAGAGGCTACGAGGCCTTGTCTAGAAATTAAGCCGGGCTGCCACTACGTGCAGCTTGACTGCATCGTGCGGACTACAGCCGCAGGAGATAAACATGCCGCTAGCTTCTTCCGGGCCTTTTAGTGACGGGATGTGGCCCAGGTGCCGTGGAGAGCTTTCACATGTTCCGGCATCCGAGTGGCAAGCCAAAGGGCATTGGGGTCCAGGGCTGATCCGTCGTGCTGTTGTCGATGGCGACTGCGAATTCAAATGAGCGGGACAAAGTGGCAAAGTGACTAGCCCAGGTAGTCACATTCAAGGATGCGCACGCCGCAACTGAGGCTCTGGCTTACATGTCCCCGTGCGCCGATTTGCATTGAATCAAATTCCTGCCTGAGGTGCTTAGTCATGGGATTGAAATCGAAGGATGGCCCCTGTACTTGAGAGAGGCGAGTGATGTGTCCAATCTAGTTACAATCTCTGAAACAAATAGAAGCAGGCAGAGGATCGGGGTGAGCGGGCACGGAGCTCGGACCCCTTGGTCATTCGTCCATCGAGCCGGCATCTGCCAGCCGAAACTCAGGGTGGAGCGGTGTTTTCGGAAAGAGATCAGTGGTCTTCGTGCCCTGACCTTCATATGCCGTTTGGATGATGCGCAGTCGTATGTACAGTGCAAGGCCAAGATTGCTGTGACAAGTGTGGGACAGCTCTACTCTTCAGGTACCACACAGAATGGGAGTCTGGCAACGAAGTTGACCCTGGAAAGGTGGGCATGCGAGCTGTGGGGACTTGTAATTTTTCGGTTCTCATCCCACATCTCCGCGAGCCTCGGCCTTCCGCGAGTGACAGCATCGTGTCTCGAGTGACCATCTGGAAGTCGCCATGCCGACGGCCGACGCGACTGGCGGCTCGAAGCCATTGGTATGATGATAATGTGCAAACCAACAACAGCGAGCAGCAGAACAGTATCAGTAGCATAGCAAGCCTCGCTCCCAGCACTGTGCGGCCTGCGGCTGCACTTGGGCACGCCGAGCATGAGTTGTGGGCTCAGCTGCAGCATGCAGAGCAGGCTCGTTCCGTGCGAAGTGAAGCGGATGATGGAGGTGACCTACAGGCTGGGCGTGTTGTGGCTGCAGAGTGCTCCGAAGCCCAAGCCTCAGGAGGGCAGTGATGGCGGAGGCTAGGGCCAGGGTTTTCAGCGGGATGTTTCTTCTCGGTGTGCGTTTGGCTTTCTTGGCTTGTGGCGTGCGAGCTCGCCCAGCAGTCGCCTGTTGTCGAGAACCGCCGGTGTGCTCGTTGCTTTGACTCGCACCTGCACTGGTGTTGCTGGACTCGGAAGCCCTGAAACGGAGACTGTTGGTGATGGTATTGCCGTTCTCCACAGGCCGGTTTTGGAGCCTCGCATCTCGCATGTAAGACTCCGGAGATCGGACCAGTCGCCACAATAAGTCTAGAGCCGATGCCACATTGAGATTGGTTTAAAGATCTGAGATTTCTGGCCCAGGCAGCGTTGAACAGTGCTTCTGCTGAGCATCAGAAATACTCCGGAGGCGTCGTAACATGGTTGTCGTCGTTGCATGTTTTGCATGTCTCGAGAGAATGCTACGAAGCTGGGGCAGGTGGCGGCAGTGCGGACAAATTCTCTTCCCCCTTCGCCTTCTCGCAGGCAGCCAGGCCCACAGAGAGCTCAAACTCAGACTAGGCAGAATGGACCGAGGCCAAAAATAATCCTAAAGTGTCCTTAACATGAAGCCAAGAACTCGCTGCAACTATTGCCGTAGACAGTCATACGGTCATACGCCTTACTGTTGCTGCAGTTGGTGCTGCTTCTACATGTTCCATGGGTTGCGGCTCAAGTGTCCAGCCACTCGAGGGCACCTTTGGCAAGAGGGTCACTTGAACCGCAGGCAGGAGCCCCACCTCGAAATACATAGAAACTGTGACTAGCACAAAGCCGGCCAACATCCTCCGACCAAATCCCCGAAGTGATAGGCGCTCCGAATAAAGATATCCAATTCTGCACACCTTTCTGCAACTGAAACTCGAGTTGAGCATTTCCCGGCTTTCTCATGAACTGGTGACATCTAGTGTAGAGACGCGCAGATTTGAGAACGTAGATCTTGCACCAGATGACATCGACATGCCGCTTAACCTAAACTCTTTTATTCCAGACCCTCTTCCAAGTTGCATCGGCAGAGTGCGAGCATGAATTGTGTGACAGCCTGCCAAGGGCCAAGAGCTGCATCATCAAGCTGCCTCGCCGGGACCGGTGCCATCGTGCTCTGCCTGCGGAACAGTGCTGCCCTGGACAGTGCGCAGACGCAGAACGGGGCTTCCAGGTACACGGCTCAGACCCACGAAACGCAGATGCCGGGCGTTGGCCAGCAGGCTCCGTCGTGGCCAAATTCTCCCTCCCAAAGGCCCCTTTTGCGCTTTTGCCTTGGAGGTCCAAGTCTCCTGGTCGTCTTGGGGCCACGCTGGCCCTGGTCCGGGCCAGATGGCCACACCGATGATGGCGATGGGAGCCTCGATGGCTCCGCCGATGGCTACAGCTCCGATGTACACAATGCTGCGCCCTTACCTCGCACTTCACACCTTCAGCATCTACAGTCTGCCCTGACTGCAAGGCCCACGTCAACCACAGCCTGTCAGCCGCCAGGTGCTCCAAAAACGATGATCTGTCGGCCTACTCGTAGTTTCGTGTTACCTGTCCAGGCTGCATGCCGGGACAGGCGACACTTGTAGCAGCTCAGCTCAGAAAAGTGTTTCGGGGTTCTTCCGCCACTGGTTACTCTTATTTCCCCATGCCCCTCATTGCAGAGTGTAGCTTTCTTTGACGATCAGATTTGCACTGCCCCGCCTGTCCTTCACCTCCGCGGCTGTTTAGAGGGTGGGGCTTCTCTTTGGGTGTTAATGATCGGGAGAAATGTGATCAACCGCCACGGCACAATAAGATATAATAAGGGTATGTGCCCAAGAACTGTGATCAACCGCCAGTGGCTTAGACATGTGATCAACTACAATCGCTTCGTAAGGGGGCGAGTTTGAGAAATGTGATCCGCCGCAATCACCCAATGAGGGACCGCGCTTCATAAATTAAATGAGAGCAAATGTCTAAAATAGATCAGCTATGGTTTCGAAGAGACAATAGAGCAAGGAGGGAAGACGTACCCGCCCCAGCCACACACGCTCAATACTTCCAGCTTCCTAAGGCACGTACTCTGAAGGTCTGCATGCGTAATCCCCCTAGCCAACGACGCCACTCCCCCTGTACTGTACCCGAACACACCTTCAAGAAGCGTGATCAGCCGGCATCGGGTGTTTCTAACTCGATTTGCCGGCTTCCGACCAGATCGAACAGCGACGTTTGTTCAAAAGCTGGAAGGCCCTACAATCAAGCGGAAGCGCCAAGCTGCAACGACCGGCGCAATCTTTCTGACAGCAGTGGCCCAGCAAGCCCAGAAGACAGAAATCACAAAAGCCAGCTCTGAGGAGCATGCCGCAGTTTTCGTTTAACAATTCACTCCTACAGGTAGTAGGGAACTAAGTGAACAACGCCTTTTTGTCCTTGCCGGGTCCGGCGGGAGGGACCATGAGGGACGCGTCGCAGGAACCCCATAATCGACTCGAAGATATTCCAAGGCAAGACGGGGGATCCCCCAGCCAGCTAAAGCGGTTGTGACATTGAGTATTTATCCCCCGCCCCCCGCTTCAGGCACACAACCCTCCCCCCTCCCCCCTCCCAGCCTTATATAATAAGGTCCCCACCCTCTTCAGGGTGCCTTTGTGTATTGCCGTTTGCAATACATGTTGGCTAGAATCTTCGCCGTGCTTGAATCGCAGTGCTGTGCTGCAAGTTTGCTTGTCGAGTCACGCGGCCCTTTGGCGGCTCCGCTTCCTTCCCGTAGCTTTCGTGGCCCTCTTCTCAAGTCACCTGCTGCTCCGTCTCTGTGTCCTCCGTCGTTCGGTTTCCTACCCAGCATAAGAACAGCACCACAAAGCTCACCCAGTCCAAGTACCTGAAGCTTTCGGACATGCCATGCTTGGAACTTCCTGTAGGGTTTCGTTATGTTTTAGGGTCTGCAACTCCGCCTCTGAACCGGGGTTGGCGGGTTATGGCGGTTAGGGTTCACGGATGTTCAGGGTTTTAGCTTCCGGGTTCCTTGGTCTGCACTGAATTTGCCGCTCCCTTTGAGGTTATTGGGTTTCGTCACCCTTTGTGAACAGTTAGGCTCTCCACTACTAACTCGGATTGAGGGTCAGTCGCTCAGGGCATTCAGGATGTACGATTTTGAAATTGGACTTGCTGATTCGGGTTCAGGGTTTGTCAAAGTCCATCGTTTTGGACTGTGGAGTTTGAGATTTTTGGTTTAAGCTTTAGGGTTCCGGTCTTGACAGTTTGGGGGTTTAGGGTCCATGACTGTACATTACAGTACATGACTCTGGCAGTTGTGCAACCTCACCGCTTGATCTTGCAGCCCGAACTGATTCCCATCTCCGGAACACGCTGATTCGCGTAAACTCGTACGGACAGGCCGATGCGGGAGGCCTCGTTCAATCTCCTACACTGTACATCCTGGTAAGTGGCAGGAAGATCCTTCTTAAAGGGCAGTCGCCTCAACGACGTCGAGCTTAGTGCCCATGTTCATGTTGGAGGGTGGTATGGAAGCGCCGATGCATTCACACAATATGTTTGTGGGCCTTTGCGGTATGAGATGGCGCAAGTGGTCGGTGGTACGTGAGATTGTCGTGAAGATGTTGCTTGCTTTGTGCAGAAGGACGCATCTATCTATAAAACATGCAGGGTGCTCTTGTGTCTTGGTAGGTGGGTGTGGCCACAGCAAGTTCGGGTGTGGTTTGTCAGGGGGTTTCTCATGCAATTCCGACAAGGTCGAGGGCTGGCTCTCAAAGCGCGCCGAGGATTTCGGAAAGGCACCGGAATCTCGAGCTATGTCGAGCAGTGGGCTTTCTTGCCTTGCCTTGACCTAGTCCTGGATGAACCGATGGTTTGTCCTTCACAGCAACGGTGCCACACTCTTAGTTGGCGTGTGATTTCCCAGAGCGTTTTCAGAAGATACGACACCAATGCCGGTAGCTGCAACTGAGGTCTTGAGCTACAGCAAGGCCAGGGGCTCTCGACAGATTTTCCGGGGCAGCTATCCTTCAAGCGAAACATCCTGCCAGGAACAAGCAGGCAAGGACTCAAAACAGATCTTCCTGGACGGATCGACTCAGGCTGGGACAGCTTCTCCCATTCCATCAAGGAATTCATGTACCTTGAAGGTTCGCATTTTCAGTCATCCCACATCAACAGATGAGGTGGGCAGAGGGCAGCGGACTAGTGACTAGTCGAGTCAGAGAGCAACCACGGCTTACTTGGTCATTGCAGCATGCCCAGAAAGAGGCCCGACGCGCCAGTCTGAAGAGACCGTTCGGCGTTGAAATCTACCAAGGCGAACCGGAGGGTTTGCATGTTTCCGAGCCGTCAGAACCTTGCAAGACTGAGTTGCAAGGGCGCGGAAGCATGCAGGATGTCGGTAGGTAGGCAGTGAACAAATGCTGCCACGAGGGTGCTGCATGCGGTGTTGCTGACGATGTCGTTGATGATGCAGCACATCAAGAGCTGCTGCTCATGATGACAACAATGTGCAGGATTTCGGAGGAGACTCAGGAGGACGAGGAGGATGATGATGAGGAGGAGGAGCAGCAGCAGGAGCAGGAGCAGGAGGAGGAGGAGGAGGAGGAGGAGGAGGAGGACCAGGAGGAGTAGGAGGAGCAGGATATCGGCAGGAACGATGAGGAGTGGTGGTGGTTGTGGTGGTGGTGGTGGTGGTGCTGCTGCTGCTGCTGCCGCTGCTGCTGCTGTCGCCCCTCTCGGTGTTTGTAGTAGTGACGCTGATGATCCCGACAATTGGACACCAGGACCTGGCAGAAGGACCTGGTATCTGGATCCGGGATCGAAAGACAAGCTCCACACTCAGCAAGGAAAACGTTGCAAAGTAGTGGACATGGAGGTGTGCGGTCCACCACCATGAGACGAACTGGAGCCTTTAGTTTTCAGGCGCGACTTGTGGATGTCGCAGCTGCAGATGGTCCTGGGCCAATTCAAGAGCCTTGATCTCGTCTCCACTTCTCTGCTGGATTTTTCAAGACTTTACACACTGTGCACGTGGTCCGAGTCTGAGGTCCTGGCAAAGGGTATGCGTAAGGTGAGACATCCTGACCCGAGTGAGTTGGGAAGTTCCTCCACCACGGGCGTCGTTGGACAGCAGGACATACTGGCAGCCTGCACTTAAAGCGCAGGACGAGCCACACAACTCCCCCTGTACAGCAGTGCTCGGGAGTAACTCCTAGAGCTGTACTCATGCAGGTTAAACCTGACAAGGATGCATGCTCGCCGTTCGCAGCACGAGCGCCGAAGGGTGCGGAAAAAGTTGCCAATTGCTGCTTCATGACAAAGCTGGGCCAAGCTGTCCTTCGACTATGTATAGACCACTTTCTCTAATTTCGGCGCCCTTGATCGAGTCTCTGTGAATCGATATGCAGAGCATCTTCTTCGCGAACGTACCTTTCGTGTCGAGGGAGATAGACCTCAAACGAAGGCTCGGGCATTGGGGAGTCCTTGCCCCTGGAACCATGTGGAACTGCTTGTTTCTGCTTCAGGTTTGCATCTGTTGGGGTCATAAACTCGTTCCATCTGTTCAAGCGGCAGGAGCCTGCAGCAATCTTATGCTGCAATTGCCCGAGTAAAGCTATCTTGGCATGATGCCATGCTGCACGCAGGATGGGAGCTCTAGAGGCATGGGCGTCGTTGAGTATGTGACAACGGCTGCAGCATCAAGCCGAGTTGATAACATGACTACTTCGGATCATCATGGTGCAGCCACCTAGACACGCTTGCACCTCTGCTTGAGGCTAGGCGTGCCGTCAACGCCCTGAGCGAGTCGAATATTGATGGTAGGCAAGTGTTGCGAACATCACTCGACATGTTGACTTCTTTCCTGCCCTGGTTCGTGCACAGGTATGTCTTGATCCAGCCTTATAACCGACAATATTACAGTGCTTATTGAGACCAGGCGGGAGTGCAGCGCCTGCCAGACATTCCCGCCATTGAGCCCTTTCGCTCTGTCTAAGGTGCTTCACATCTGACTGAGCTTCGGTATTCTTCAGAGTCGGAGTGGCTGGAGCATAGGGAGCTGGATCTGCGTCAGAGCTCGTACTTCAAAGAGATTCCGAGACCAAGCGGTTCCACAAGCTGTAGGGCGTAGGGTGCTGTGAAAGTCTGCGTGAAGCTACGCGGGCGACCTACAGATACCTGCGGCCAAAACGGGTCGCTTGCATCACGCGCCGCAGAGCACAGCCATTGTCAGGAGAATCCAGGTCTAGTCCTCTGACTAATAGTCTCATCGTGTCGTTCTCCGCAGGTTCGTCAAGCGACTATGTTGGATGCTTGGACCAGCCTTGATCTCAGCAGAACCAGACCTGGGAACTTTGCAGAAAAGAATCCCATGCAGGCACACGTCCCCTCAAGACCTTGTTTCTCTGAAGACGACAAGCTCTTGGGCCGAATGGTCTCCATCTCGGACCGACGCTAGCGTAGGTCGGCCTTGACAGACGCCTATCCTGAGGTTGGTTGGGGACGAGAAGCCGATGGGCCCAGTCCACATGAGACGGGTCTCAAATGCATCGGAGGCACCGGGAAGCAGTCCTAGTAACCACCTAGGGCAGGTTCCCTGACATCTCTGTATCAGCTCCTGCGCTGTGTTCCATTTCCTCAAAGGGCGTAAGATGAGCTGGCCCACGCTGGCTTTGCCTTTTGGACACCGTGCTGGAGCAAAACTGCAAGGTACCAAGCTTGGCTCTCGTACCTGGCAAGTGTACAGAAACGTGTGTGGATGTGAACTTCGGTGCCGCCGATGTTAAATCATTGGGATTGGCTCAATCAAGCCTCGCTGCGCAGCGAGTTTCCAGGTTGGGCTTGTAAGCTTTCTCACGCCGGCTGTGGCTAATTCGGCACGCGGCGTAGAGTGCAAAAAGATGCGAACCGCAGAATCTGCCGCGGGTGACCGAGAACAACCCTTCGGTTTCATGAGCTCAGCAACTCTTCTGCATAGTTCATTGAGACGAGAAGCACTTGTTGCTCAAGCTGCATGCATCCCAGTGGATTTGCCTTCTCCTCATGGCTGCTCAGCTATATAAAGAGGAGAGAGATACTGTGCGAGAACACTTTGTGAATGTATTCATATCTCGTGGGCCAAACTCAGGGGCAATGCTGTGCCGATCGTGCATGTGTGGAAGCGAGGGTCTCTTCCAAAAGCAACATTGTTGCGATCCCAGACCCCAATGTATCCGGTGAGGGAATCGCAGGGCCGAGCCAGGAAGTCAAGGGAACTTAGTCGTCGTCGCCGTAGCATGTGCAAGAGAGCGCGAAGAACAAGAGACCAGGCTGTGGTTGGGCCTGGTTGCTATGTTATCTTTCACTTCTGCCTACTTGCCGTGGTTTTGCCGAGCATGCGTGAGGCCACGCAAGAAGCCACACCGGGTCTAGCAAGTCCAACAGTTCCAAGACTGATTGTCAGGCTTTGCCCCAGGAATCAAACCGTGCGGACCTGTTAGGTCTTGGGTTTAACATTTTCCTTCCTGAACACTTTAGTGTGGAGGGGCTTTCCCACCAAAGGTTGCGGGGTTCCGGTAAGGGCAGTCTGGAGGACAAGCCCACAGGATGCAAGTGCCGCGGTGAATTTCGGCAGTCAGATCGAAGCCACTGCTCACTGACCCAACTGTTCGTTTCGAGGTCAGCATGCGCAGATGAAATCTGGGCTGTCACAAGCCAGAAATGGCTTTGTTGACAGCCCTACCGTCTCGCGCTCAAGTCCAGCGGCGTTGGTTGAGCCCGAAATGTGGTGTGAAGTAACCTTTGTTGGCTTGGTGCTTTACGGAACAAAATGCTAAGGAGGTCGACGTGGATGCTTCGATTATAGCTCTGGAGGCCCACAGCCTTGCTTGGCAATACCTGCTGTCGCTTCAAAATCCTGCTCCTTCAGAGTACATGACTTTCGGATGCCAACGACGGTGCAGGCAACCTTCAGCCAACAGTTGCAGGCTGCACGCAGCCCCAACAAAGAAGGACCTATTCGGATAAGGATGTGGCAATGAAGACCTGTCAGAAATGTGGTTCACTTGTGCTGGCACAAACATGACGAACCTGATTAGTTTGACTGCTGTAATACAGGAGAGCCGCTTCGTGCAAGACACGATAGCCCGACCTTGGACGAGATAGAAGAGTTTGAAATAGAAGAGGTCGGCTGCAAGCTGCTAATTGCTGGATGCTCGTAGCACCGAGAAATGCCTGGGTAAGCGTCTCTGATGTCAGCAGTGCAACTCGTGTCGGCCACTTGCCGCAGGTCATTGGTCCGAGAGTTGATGCCGTCCCGTCTGTCCAGTCACAATTGGAGGCGCTCTGCGACGAGTCATAACCGTTCCTTCTTGTCTTTGAGGTCCTGAAGTTCTTGAGACTGGCCAGTGACCTGTTCAGGTGCCTGCAAGCCCGAGTGTCTCGCCGACGAGTCCACCGAAAAGTCCGCCAAGTCGGCTCTTCAGTGGAGTGACAACTCCAAAGAGTCGGAATCTGAGCTGTTTGAATCTCCGGGCTTCGCTGTCTTTGGTTGCGACTGGCAGTGCATCAGAGTAGTGCATGGATGCGAGTTTCCGAAACGGCGAATGTGGGCTCGAGCATGAGCCTTTCGACCTGTGAGTTTTTTGGCGGCCGAGCTTGTGTCCGCTGGCTTCTCAGCATGTCAGTCGCTGCATGTCGCTGCATGTCGTTCGGTCCTGCTTACCAGATGAGCGCAGGCTGAACATTCTGCACTGTCAGGATTACCGCAGTACTTCAGTGTTGGAGGAAGCCAAACTGCACACACGTAGACACATATACATACACACACACACACACAGACGGAGACACACACAAGCACAGACACGCACACACACACACAGACACAGAGACACAGAGACACAGAGACACAGAGACACAGAGACACAGAGACACAGAGACACAGAGACACAGAGACACAGAGACAAAGAGGCACAGAGACACAGAGACACACAGACACACAGACAGACCGATACAGAGACACCGACACCGACACAGACGCAGACGCAGACGCAGACAGAGACAGAGACAGAGACAGAGACATAGACAGACATACATACGTCCATACATCCATAC